CCCGCGGGGGAATTTCGAAAAATCCCTTCTTAGTGTGCATTGCCATGGCATACCCTACTAAAACGCAGATAAAAACAAAAAATCGCATCTAAAATAGTACAATAGAAGCGGTTCTTCCGGTTAAGCCTTAATGCTCTCCCTCTCCCCCAGCGGAGGAATTTCGAAAAATCCCTTCTTAGTGTGCGTTTCTATGACGTACCCTAACTGTCTACCAAATTTCACCTCTTTAGGTTAAGCGGTCTGCTCTGGGCAATGATGAATCAGTGAGTGAGTGAATCATTCAGTCAGTCAGTCAGGACAAGCAATTTTATATATTTAGATTATGATTATATATTAATCAGGTTTTTATTATAATACGGTTTTTTAATTTTCATAATTATACTTATTTATTTGATAATATTTAATTTTAAATATCATTTCTGACTGTGTGAGAATTTCAATAAAAAACTTGTAATGATTTATAAGTGATTTCTTCTTAAACTTTTTCATTATCAAAAAGAATAATAAAAAATAGTTGTTAAACTGTTAGTATAAATTAATAAAAAAAATAAGTAGTTACAGTAATATATGTAATAATAATTAAATTAAACAAGTATTTTTAATAATATTTTGAAAAGATATATATATTCAGATATTATAATGCATTTTTAAAACACAATAGTTTAAACAATGATAATAAATAATAATGACTTACTATACAATTTTGAATATTTAGAATATTCTAGTTTATTCTAATCTATTTAATTCATTTTAAGAATTTATATTTATAAACTTGTGAGAAAGCATTATTATTATTATTATTTTAAATATGCACTAAAATTTAAAAATTAAGATGTCTTTAAAAGTTCCAAAACTAAGTATCATCTTCAAAATTTAGATATCAGACTGACAACAACAACAACAACAACAACAAAGGACTACATCCAATAATTGTACAAAATATATGTGTAATTCGTTCTGCATATTATTCAGTATTAAAAGACTTACTATGACACCTTGACATTTAACATGACCGAAAACATTTGGAAGTAATAAACTTGGGCTGCATGTTCACAAGGTGTCATAATAAGTCTTTTAGTACATATATGTGTTAAAATACTTGTTTTACATTAATATTTGAAGTAAAATGAATAATAATTACATGGCATATAATGCAGAATGATTAATCTAATACAGTATTATCATTTATACAATCATGCATACATACATGGTTATATAAATTATAACATTAGATTAATCGTTCTGCATTGAAATTTAAGCAAATTTTTACTCCAAAATTATATATAAAATTTTGAGGTAAAAATTTTATATATAATCAGAAGCATATGATGTGAATTGTACAATTCACGTCATATGCTTCTGATATATCAGAATGAAAAGTTTAGTCATAAATAAATATAATCTATTAAGTCTCTTCTCTACAATCCTAAAATAAAAATCTACGAGGGCTATTTTTTAAATAAGGTCCATTTGTGAATGAGAGTGAGAATGATGCGTGATTGCAACAGTGTGCATGAGCATCTGTTTTCAGTATGCTTTGCACGTGTTTAGATGCCATTTGCAGTCGTATTGTCTGTCTGTGTGCTGAACTGTAGAAGTTTATAATGTTTAAGAAAATTGAGTTGACCACTGACTGTAAGATACAATTGGTTATTCAATTTCAGCACAAAAGATCATGGTAACTATCTTTTAGGACAGGAAAGGGACTTTGTTCGTGGATTTTATGCCAAGAGGCACAACAATCAATTCTGATGCTTATTGTGACCTTGAGAAAATTTGCTGTACCATACAAGACAAGCGGCATGGCCTAATGTCTTCCGGCAGTAAGCGACAGATTTCTTTGAAGTTGGAATTTAAAAATTTTTGAGCGGTATGACAAAATGTTTGAACAAAAATGGAAATTATGTAGAAAAGTAGATAAAAGTATATAGAATATGGAAAAAAATATATTTTAATGATATTTACAGTATTTTTCTTCTTATTAAAAATGGGCTCTACTTAAAAAATAGCCCTCATACTAGTAAAAAAAAAATGCTTAAGTAATAAGTATGAAATAAAACTGAAATGAACAGTATTTGATAATTGAAATGTATCAGTAAATGAAATGAACATTTACATTCAATCATAGTATAATGATAGTAGGCTCAATATGCTGTCAGCTCCTTTAATCTCATGTAACAAAGTAACATCATCACAATGCAGAGCACCTAGTGAACACCAAACAATTTAAACTTCCTGAGTATTGGAAGAAATACAATTTCATGACATTGTTTTAAAAGAATTTTTTTGTAAATCATAGTATGCTTGAAAATAAAACATAATATTATTTTATATAATTTAATAAATTATCTATTAATTAAAACAGGAAAATTATGTGTATCTTTTGCCAAATTTAAATTCCAACTTATTTAAAGGCAATGTGATAAACTTGTAAAAAACTGAATAAGACTGTAAGTAATTAATAAAAAGACACCTTGTGAATCCAGCAAGTAACCAGTGGTTTGATGAAAAGCTTCTCTATGTAGGGTCACCACATATAATCTTGCACTAAGAATGAAAGAACACCAGTACACAGTCAACAAAGATTTGGGTAATGCTGGCATCTTACACAAACTACAGCAGATACTTGTTAAATGAGAGGAAGGTAAACTGATGAGATCATCCAAAACTGTTTTATCCTTGAATACTTAGAGGCTTTAGAAATCTACAAAGCCCACAGTAAACAGCATTGCATCAATTACAGGGATATTGACACTTTGTTGCATGTATTAAGTATAGATTACTTTGTTGCCCTACATTAGCACAATTCAAAATAGCAATTCTTCTTTATACACTTAATTTATTTATCATATTGTATTTTATTTTATTATGTTTATTTAATTTTTGCATTCTTTTTGTTGTTATTATATATTATTTTCTAATCGGTTACTGTTTGTATTTAAATTTATATATATTCTGTTTATTTTCAAATGTTTGTTCAATTCTGTTAATTTCTTTTGTTCTAACTGAGGAAGACCCATTAATTCTGAATTTAAAAAATTTTTTAAAGTATGACATATTTGCTTGATTCACAAGGTGTCTTTTTATTTATTATTTAAAAGCATTCATCCTTGATACTAAGCAAACAAAACATTTTTATAGAAACCAAAAGTTACTCAATGATTGCTGAAACAAGGAGACAGTTTTGTTTTGTAAACTATCTTAATTGGTCAATCATCCTAACATCCCAATTAAAATCAGTGGTTTAATTAGGGGCCATAGGAAATATAAGGTCTCTCTTAAAAATTAAAAACACTTTATTTTTCAAAATAAATATTTTATATTACACTAATTTGACATATTTTTCATGTTTTGTAAATTTTACTGTTTACATAACAATTTAACACACCGTATATCTGTGCAGATAAAATGATAATTGAATCATAAAAAAAGGCCCCTAAAATCCGGGGTCGTCTTATAGGACAGATACAAAAAAAATTACATGAAATTTATATAAATTAAAACCGTTATAAAAAGTGGACAAACTGTAATTATTTACTATTAGAGAGTAGGGTATGTCCACAAAATAGAATGGTCCATACGATGTTTTTGTGAATAGTCAAGGTCACTTGAATGTCCAAATCAGTGCAAATGTTTGCAACAATAACAAGGTAGTGCTGCCAGATGCAAGAAAATAAAATTTGTTCATTTGAAAAATTATGAATTGGACATAATTCTGTATACACTATACAGTGTTATTATCCAGATGATGATCGCTGATCTAAACTAAATTCATAGGCCGTTGATAGTTTGGGGGTTGTCATATAGGACAGATATATGCTAAAACTATAAAACTTTGACGAAAATTTATACCTCATCTCATCTTATCTGTGCAGATATATGGTATTTAAAAAAAAATTAGCTGTTGATTTATCTATTGGTAAGTCTGCAATCAAATCCCTCTAATTTCATCATCATTTCTTTTCACACATATATAATATATTTAATTATTATAGGTATCTGATTTTATCAATTTAATAAATATATTAGTGTTACTATGAACAAANTCAACTGTTCCTTGTGTGATGTGTTACTGAAGAAAGAAAGCCACTAGCTTTTAATTCTTTAAAGTCTATAAATAACTTTTTATTTTAAGAAAATATTAACAATAACAACATAATATAGATAGCTAGAACATTGCACAACTTTGTCATATTGCGATAAAACTGAAGCAAACTGGAAAGAAAGAAGAGGTTCCTGCACCTGTCAGGCATAGAAGAGGCAATCCTTTTACCTGCCAACCATGGGAGAGATGATCCTTGCACTGGCCAACATGAAAAATGATCCAAAAACAAAGCAATTGCCATCAATTACTTTGTTCTTATGTTTTGTTCATTTCATTTTTCTCACCTACTTTCCACTCAAGCAATGCTTTTTTGTTTTTTTTTTTTTTTTACTCCTAGACTTAAATTCCATTAGGTGTGCTCAGTTGCATAAGAAAGCACAGACATTATCACTTTTACTCCACTGTATATTGAAAAAGTCAAGACCATTATTTTTTACATTTAAATAGATCCTCATTACATTTTTGTATTTCTCATTGCAACTAATGAAAAATGGCAATCCAAATCGATCATATAGATTTAGAGAACAAACACAATTCTGTAAGCCACATAGAAGAAGCTTCGCTAATACTCAACCTCAAAAATTTTTGTGAGAAACTTAATACAATATTTTTATAATTTTTTCAAATTTGTAGTAATGTAACAAAAGTTTCCTTCTTAACATTTTTGAATGATCAACAGTCTTGTAGATTGTAAAGTGTGCAGGTGGGATAAAAAGCCAACAGTACTTTCAGTAATTTAACCTAAAAAAGCCCATTGCAGAATCCATAAAAATTACTCAGAAGTCTGATCTCTTTAAAAGAAACAACAGATATGAAAGGTAGTAGCTAAAAAAAAAAAAACTCAGATGATACAAGTCTGCCTAATCAGAGATTTGTACATTCACAAATGATATGCAGAGAACTCCCCTCAGCAGTCACAAAAGTGGTAAAAGACTGAGAAAGAGTTTCAGTCAGCATGTTTAAGCAAGTGAACAAAGTGAGTCTGTCATACCATATATAATTCATGCTAAAAACAATAAGATCCCACATTTTGCACAGAAGACAAGCTAGGCAAAAAATACCTTAATATGCTTTACACCAAGAGTTCCCCTATTGTGTTAAATGACTAGAAGTAGTTCAGTCTTTAACAGCTCTAGAAAAATCATTAAAAAATAAAAGCTGGATTGGGCCCAATAAAAGGTAAGAAGTATCCTGGTTAGTCAGTAAATCAGCATTTACACTTCTGCAATTCTCTCATGCTCTGGCAACCACAAGAAAAAAACTCTACTGCAAGAAGCCAGTTCAGAGAGACAAATGTTGAAATAAACTGATCAAGTAGAAGAATCAAATAGCTTCAAAAAAAGAGTGACTGTCAGAAACAATGTAGATTTTACTAAAAAGGAATCTATTTAAAACAATGCAAATGCTTCAAGTAATAACTAGCACTTCTGCTTAAAGCACAGTAAGGAACCTTCCTAGTTAGACACAAAAATCTCTAACTTGAGACAAGGGATATTTAGATGAAGATTTTAAAAACATACTGTTTTCAAAATCTTTATCTAAACATCCCTTACAAATTCAAGCATCAGTAGCCACTATTAATTTCAGATCTATCTATAAACCAGGCTAGGTCCTGTGGACTGAAGGTGTAAGATGGCCGACCCGGTGGAGATAGGGGACTTGAAACCCACTCCACGTGTAAGTTAGAACTGGTGTAGATTGGGCATAAAATCCCACTTCTGACGCCAGTGTAAGGTTGCCGTCTCCTAGGTAGGATCTATTAATCCCGCGTCAGGATGAACCTAAGGGAAGGTTGTATGTGGGCTGTGACGGAGGAGGCAAATGATGACAAGTGTTTTACACAAGAAAGCCGTTTATTTGTTAACATTTATGCTTACATCGACAATCCTTCACTAGTTCTTCTCGTCGGAGATGCAGATAGGAGAGAAGTTCTACATCTGACTGGCCCTGGGGCGGATGAGATGCTGTTGCTGATCAAGGTGGACGATCGAAAATTGGAAGCGGAGGAGTCCAAAGTTCTTGGTGACACACCACAATATCAGTCACGACCTTTCGTGAAGTCGGAGGAGAGCTCTCCTGACCTTGATTTTCCGATTTTTATAGTTTTTTTTCTCCCACTATTCGGACTTCTGATTGGCCCCTTGTCCCCTTCCTCACTTCCTGATTGGTCTCTCTTTTGTTCGGGGGAAAACTGAGACCGACTCGGGTCACGGGAAAGGTCCAATTCCAGGTGTCTGCTCGACACCTTTCTGTTGATTGTTCTTGGGGATTATTGACAAAATTGCAAGATTTGTGCTCATAATTTAGCTCCGTTACTCGCGATTTCTGTCATCTGGGTACTCGAACGATCATATACAATGATTTATCTCTCTTAAATCTTTCCCTCTTTTCCAAAATTGTTTCCCTAGATTGACTGTTTATGAGCACTGGGGTCAAAGTTCTACCTGCATATGACCACTTGTCTCTGACTTATAACTTTTCATTCTGACATTGACAGTTCGTTTAGCACGTGTTGGAGTCATCCGAGACTCGTTGTCTACGTTTTGTGCTGCGTTGTTTAAATTATGGGATTTTCCTCTCCTCTCATATTTAATCTATCGTTATTATTTAACCATAAGAATACCGCGATTTACATGATTTCGGACCTCAGTTGGGTCCTCACAAAGGTCTTCCTACTCAGATATCAATAAAACCAATTAGGAAAGAAAACCAAATAATGCTTATCATAAATAAACTGAGGTACTGTACATTCTATCAGAAATCATCAAAAAGATGTCTCAGCAGAGATAGATGACCAATGAAACATGTTCCAATTATATACTTGAGCTATAGAGGTCCCAATTTCTGTCTGAATAAAAATCTATAGTAGAGTCCTGTACAACACACAAATAAAGCAAGCAACATCCTTGAATTATGTTGATCAGAGGTATACTTTTTTTTTTTCAACTTATAGGCCAAGGTTTAAACTTTCATAAATTGTGTGATTATACAGGTTTCAATAACACGATTTCCTATAATGCGTAATGAATCCCATGCGTTGTATGGAACTCTACTGTATTTGTTTTGCATTAAATTTGAATTTAATGCTTAGAATGCCAAAAGTATTAATTCAATATAAAAAGTTTTGAAGTTTTATCTAGAAAGTTAACTTTTTAAGGGTCTTTGGAAAAATCAAAATAATTTTCTAAAATAAAAATAAATTCCAAAATTATAGTAGAAATTTTAATATTTTTCTATATTATAGCCTATTACTCTTCTACATTTTATTTTAAAATTATAGAAATTTATATTTAAATAATAAGTATTTGCAAACAAACCTTTCTTTATGCTGTAGAGGTTTATTATCTATGCAAGACAATAAATTTGGAATTAATGAAATTTGTCTGTCAATTTCCATTCTAGGGTAACCCAATTTTAAATAAATTATGGTAAAATTTATTGAAAAAGTAGTTGCTGCAGGATCTCCATATTGCAGTAGAAGAGCTTCCATTGGAAGTTGAACTTGTGGCCTTGATTTCAAACGCTTATTAATATGAACAAGTAATTCCATAACCTTTAATAAAAAATTTTAAATTAATCTATTTCATTTTTGAAGAAAGGAAATAAAAAATGTAATCTTAAATATTTATTAAATTCAATACAAACAAATGCAGTAACTTAAATATAAATAAAGTGAAATTTATTGAAAAGTCAAGAATTTACATTATAAAATGCAGGGCTGTGGAGTCGGAGTCGGAACCGTGGAGTTTTGATGTTTTACCCGGAGTCGGAGTCGTCAAAAAATCCACCTACTCCAACTCCTTTTTACTTACCAACTTGTTATGTATATAAAATGGAAAAGTATTGGAATCGTGTCAAATTTGTCCCTCCAAGTTTTTTTTTTTTTGCAAATCTACACATTTGGAGACCTCCCGAACCCCCTCAAAAAAGTCAATAAAGGGGAAAAATTTGCGCGCATGTGTGTGTGTTAGCCTCTAATTTGTTTAATTTCTTTATTTTCTGTTCTGAGATATTAAACAATATCTCAGAATGGGTAAAGTTTAAGAAACGAAATGTGGCACTGTAGCTTGCATATAAAGAGGCATTAATACTATTAAATTTTAGTTCTTAATTAAAGGTCGACAGGGTAAGACATAAAAGTGGTCGTGTAATATCTCTTAATGAATATTTTACTCGTTATTAGCGTTCAAAATTTAATAAAATAAAACTCGTCTTTACCCTCATAAGCTTTTTTGCCATTTTATAATAGTACAGTAAAACCCGTTAAGATGTTCTCGCTTAAAATGTTAGAATGTATATGGGGACATGATTTAGTTCAACCACTTTGACTTAAGTAACTAACTCCTGTGTTAAACCATTCGACTCATATTCTGACCACTCTGACGACAGAAATTATTAGGCTTCAAACAGGGTGAACGAAATCATGCTCCCCACACACAGTCTAACATCCAGACATGTAGAAAAAACCTTGAATCTTTTGCATATCTCAAAATTTCAAGATGTCCCAAGTCCAAAAAATGTAAAAATTTGGGAGGGGTCATTTTTTGACCGAGCGCTACACTTTTCCTCTGTTATATATAACAGCCGGAAAAGTAAAAATTATCGAATACATATTTATATATTACTTAAAGAAGTCTTTTAGCTTTGGAATAAAAAGTTTCTACGCTCTATCTTTATTACAACTCTATTTATTGAATATTTTATTCTGAGGTCACATGATGACATCAGAATTTCCGGGTCTCTTTCGGTAACAAGCCTGCCTCTAGTCAGAGTCGGAGTCGAATGGTAAGGAAAAGTCGGAGTCGGAGTCGGTAGATTTTTACACGACTCCACAGCCCTGATAAAATGGCAGTGACACCATTAAAAAAAAGCTCTTACAAGATAAAAATTGTATGTAATTAATTACTAATTGATATTATTAATAATGCAAACTATTTAATATTAATTTCTTTAGACAAACCATTTTCCAACTTTTGCAATAAAAACAAAATATGCAAAATTTATATATGAATTACAGTTAATATAGGTACAGAACATTTTTAAAATATATTATTACTAGCTGTTACACGCAACTTTGCCTGCGTGGATTTTGCAAGCAAACTCCATTTATATTCAGTATTTCAACAACCATAGTAATTGTTATATAACACCTACTTCTGAGAATGATGAGGATTGCTGAGAATCAAACAAACTATTTTCAATTTGATCAATTTTCTGGAACGTTTACAATCGTTCTATAATCTAATCAATATGCAATAACAAATTCAAATTTAAAACAGTTCAAACATTTTTATAATCGAAATAGATAAAAATATTTATAACAATGTCTGAAATGTTATTAATTTAATACACCTAAGTACTCGATGAAGACTAAATCCTCTCCCTATCCCACCCGCGGGGGAATTTTGAAAAATCCCTTCTTAGTGTGCATTGCCATGGCATACCCTACTAAAACGCAGATAAAAACAAAAAAATGCATCTAAAATAGTACAGTAGAAGCCATTGTTCCGGTTAAGCCTTAATCCTCCCTCTCTCCCCCCGCAGAGGAATTTTGAAAAATCCCTTCTTAATGTGCATTCCCAGGGCATACCCTACTAAAACGCAGATAAAAACAAAAATATGCATCTAAAATAGTACAGTAGAAGCCATTCTTCCGGTTAAGCCTAAATCCTCTCCCTCTCCCCCCACAGAGGAAGTTCGAAAAATCCCTTCTTAGTGTGCGTTTTCATGACGTACCCTAACTGTCTACCAAATTTCACCTCTTTAGGTTAAGCGGTCTGCTCTGGGCAATGATGAATCAGTGAGTGAGTGAATCATTCAGTCAGTCAGTCAGGACAAGCAATTTTATATATTTAGATTATGATTATATATTAATCAGGTTTTTATTATAATACGGTTTTTTAATTTTCATAATTATACTTATTTATTTGATAATATTTAATTTTAAATATCATTTCTGACTGTGTGAGAATTTCAATAAAAAACTTGTAATGATTTATAAGTGATTTCTTCTTAAACTTTTTCATTATCAAAAAGAATAATAAAAAATAGTTGTTAAACTGTTAGTATAAATTAATAAAAAAAATAAGTAGTTACAGTAATATATGTAATAATAATTAAATTAAACAAGTATTTTTAATAATATTTTGAAAAGATATATATATTCAGATATTATAATGCATTTTTAAAACACAATAGTTTAAACAATGATAATAAATAATAATGACTTACTATACAATTTTGAATATTTAGAATATTCTAGTTTATTCTAATCTATTTAATTCATTTTAAGAATTTATATTTATAAACTTGTGAGAAAGCATTATTATTATTATTATTTTAAATATGCACTAAAATTTAAAAATTAAGATGTCTTTAAAAGTTCCAAAACTAAGTATCATCTTCAAAATTTAGATATCAGACTGACAACAACAACAACAACAACAACAAAGGACTACATCCAATAATTGTACAAAATATATGTGTAATTCGTTCTGCATATTATTCAGTATTAAAAGACTTACTATGACACCTTGACATTTAACATGACCGAAAACATTTGGAAGTAATAAACTTGGGCTGCATGTTCACAAGGTGTCATAATAAGTCTTTTAGTACATATATGTGTTAAAATACTTGTTTTACATTAATATTTGAAGTAAAATGAATAATAATTACATGGCATATAATGCAGAATGATTAATCTAATACAGTATTATCATTTATACAATCATGCATACATACATGGTTATATAAATTATAACATTAGATAATCGTTCTGCATTGAAATTTAAGCAAATTTTTACTCCAAAATTATATATAAAATTTTGAGGTAAAAATTTTATATATAATCAGAAGCATATGATGTGAATTGTACAATTCACGTCATATGCTTCTGATATATCAGAATGAAAAGTTTAGTCATAAATAAATATAATCTATTAAGTCTCTTCTCTACAATCCTAAAATAAAAATCTACGAGGGCTATTTTTTAAATAAGGTCCATTTGTGAATGAGAGTGAGAATGATGCGTGATTGCAACAGTGTGCATGAGCATCTGTTTTCAGTATGCTTTGCACGTGTTTAGATGCCATTTGCAGTCGTATTGTCTGTCTGTGTGCTGAACTGTAGAAGTTTATAATGTTTAAGAAAATTGAGTTGACCACTGACTGTAAGATACAATTGGTTATTCAATTTCAGCACAAAAGATCATGGTAACTATCTTTTAGGACAGGAAAGGGACTTTGTTCGTGGATTTTATGCCAAGAGGCACAACAATCAATTCTGATGCTTATTGTGACCTTGAGAAAATTTGCTGTACCATACAAGACAAGCGGCATGGCCTAATGTCTTCCGGCAGTAAGCGACAGATTTCTTTGAAGTTGGAATTTAAAAATTTTTGAGCGGTATGACAAAATGTTTGAACAAAAATGGAAATTATGTAGAAAAGTAGATAAAAGTATATAGAATATGGAAAAAAATATATTTTAATGATATTTACAGTATTTTTCTTCTTATTAAAAATGGGCTCTACTTAAAAAATAGCCCTCATACTAGTAAAAAAAAAATGCTTAAGTAATAAGTATGAAATAAAACTGAAATGAACAGTATTTGATAATTGAAATGTATCAGTAAATGAAATGAACATTTACATTCAATCATAGTATAATGATAGTAGGCTCAATATGCTGTCAGCTCCTTTAATCTCATGTAACAAAGTAACATCATCACAATGCAGAGCACCTAGTGAACACCAAACAATTTAAACTTCCTGAGTATTGGAAGAAATACAATTTCATGACATTGTTTTAAAAGAATTTTTTTGTAAATCATAGTATGCTTGAAAATAAAACATAATATTATTTTATATAATTTAATAAATTATCTATTAATTAAAACAGGAAAATTATGTGTATCTTTTGCCAAATTTAAATTCCAACTTATTTAAAGGCAATGTGATAAACTTGTAAAAAACTGAATAAGACTGTAAGTAATTAATAAAAAGACACCTTGTGAATCCAGCAAGTAACCAGTGGTTTGATGAAAAGCTTCTCTATGTAGGGTCACCACATATAATCTTGCACTAAGAATGAAAGAACACCAGTACACAGTCAACAAAGATTTGGGTAATGCTGGCATCTTACACAAACTACAGCAGATACTTGTTAAATGAGAGGAAGGTAAACTGATGAGATCATCCAAAACTGTTTTATCCTTGAATACTTAGAGGCTTTAGAAATCTACAAAGCCCACAGTAAACAGCATTGCATCAATTACAGGGATATTGACACTTTGTTGCATGTATTAAGTATAGATTACTTTGTTGCCCTACATTAGCACAATCCAAAATAGCAATTCTTCTTTATACACTTAATTTATTTATCATATTGTATTTTATTTTATTATGTTTATTTAATTTTTGCATTCTTTTTGTTGTTATTATATATTATTTTCTAATCGGTTACTGTTTGTATTTAAATTTATATATATTCTGTTTATTTTCAAATGTTTGTTCAATTCTGTTAATTTCTTTTGTTCTAACTGAGGAAGACC